TTTTTTCAATCATCAAGTTTACAAATATTCAGAGGCTCTAGGTTGTTATTTTCTCTCAAAAGACATAAAAAAGCTCCGATTTCTGTTTTGTATGGTACAATGTACTTGCACATTACTTATTCGTGCATACGGTCTTTCTGTTTTGTACAGTAAAGTTAACTGAAAGGTCTCTGGGTTTTTTTGGTTAATTTACACAGTCTAAGTTTTGTTTTGTACAGTTTACAGTCAGGGCTCTGTTTTGTTTGACATTACACGTAGTCTAGTTCTGTTTTGTTTGATACAGTGTATAGATGGGGTATATTTACAGTAAGGTCTCTTTCTGAATGCTAGTTTACAGTTGCCCTGGTTGTGAACTGTGAAGAACATCATAATAAGCAAGTATAAAGAAGTGTTATAGGTTAATGTTTATCAATAATCATGCTGATACATATTTCTCATATAAAGTACATAACTAAGTAGATCTATATAACAGGTCTTACAGTAGTCAGCAAGTCTGAATCAATGTTTGAGTTAAGTCCCGTTTAGTTTCATGGAAAACAAGGAAGACAATTTTAATGGTTCTCCACATGCTTTTCACACTTCAGTGACTTTCAATCAAGACATTTTTTTTAACAAAAGGAAGCACCATAGGTATTTTCAACATGCACCTAAACAATGTGCTCTAAAGCCTGTAAGCTTGTGTAGTCTTTTTTGTTATTGTTTATTTATATTTTAAATAATGTATTAATAAATTTATTTAAGCAAAATCTGTGTTAGTTTTTAGCTGTAGTGGTCAGAGACCAGAAGAGCTTATGCCATAGTAAGATTTCCTTTGTCCATCCCTCTCTTTGTAAACAATTTTTGAAAATGCTACTCCCCCTACACTTTTGGTCCATTTTTAATAAAACTTGGTACAGAAGTAGACTTCTCTAAATTCCTAATTCTATGTATCTGTTCTTGATTTTTTTTTGTGAAATTCTTTCAAATCTTCTAAAATTTTAGTCTGTTCTCATTAAAACTTGGTACACAAGTAGACTTCACTAAGATACATACTCCTGTTATAGGGTTTTGATTTTAACGAGTGTTGTTGCCATGGTTACTAAAAATAGGAATTTTTGTGAAATACAGTATTAATCCAATTACAATCAAACTTGATGCAAAAAGAGACTAAACCAAGGATCATTATTTTATTCATTGCTGTTGCTGTAGTTTTAAGTCCAAGTGCTACTTTTCTCTACTTTAAGTAAAAACCAGTAGAGCTACAGTCTTGGCAGACTTCTTGTTACAGATATCTTTTGTTATTGCCTGTCTATAAATTTCATTGGTCTAGATATGAGACTGTCAAGAGGCCCATAGTCTACCAAGCTCACCTGAGTCACTTCTACCCTGCTGCTTTTAAAAGCTTTTAAAGATTTTTTCCCGTTTGTGTTGTAACCCTACTGTAGCCCTAAGCTAACCTCTAGGTTGTATGTCTTGACTAAATGTGAATCGGTTGCCGTATATTGTTCTTTTCAAAGAAAAGATTTTTTTACCCCCCTCTGCAGGAAAGGGGGGTATAAGGTGTCATAACAGTATTTCACTTGAGGTTCACGTCAAATCATGGCTGACGCAAAATAATTCCTGAATCTTCCCTTCCGATTCGGGCATTTTAACACGAGACTGGAGCTGAATTTTTTTATGAGATGAAAAACAATATGTAAACTTCCTATATTGACTAGATTCATTAAAATTTAGAGCGCGCTGAATTTTCTATATACTGTATTTGAGTGGGGAGTGATTAGGTCCTGGACTTGATTTTCAAGCACCTGCTCGACTTCGAGCGAGACAAACTTGCGTGCCTTGCTGGATGGCTATGTATTTTTTGGTACTAAAATCTTTATAAAGAATTGTTTTACAAGATCTGAAAAGGAAACTTCTCAAAAGTTTGTTTTCAATTAATACCACCTACTCAAAGTTGCGCATTTTTGGTAAGAATATATAGCAAAATTTAATACTGTTGTGCAACCTATACTGTTTTACCCTTGTGTGTCTGTCTGTCTGTCCTTAATAACAAATTTTCGTCACATTTTCTCAGCAAACTACTTATCGCAGATGATTGAAATTTTAGTAGACTCTTTGTTTAGTCATGCCAAATTGTGGGATTCATTTTTGTATGAATCCTATGTCAACATGAGAGTGTATATTTTATCAGAGCGGGAGTATTACTAGTGAGCATTCGCTCACAGGCTTCTTGTTTCCTATGTATTTTGTAAAACTGCATCCTCTATTTAAGCTCCACATACTCCCAGTGACTATAATTTGAATAAACTCAAGGACCCTCTATACACCAGAGGAAATTATTTTTTGGACATTGAGAAAATTATAGTGTGAAAAAGTGTAAATATTGAGCTTAACTATCACATTTTCAATATAGGGTACTTGCATTTACCCTCAGGAAAAATGTTCAAAGACAATGAAATACTGATGAACAGAAATGACTGTACAGTTGTTACTTAAGTGGGCAAAATACCTGCAAATAAAGTGTTCAATCTATTCATCGTGGCCTATTAAAATGTTATGAATTCTTGATTTGATTACACATTAAGTAATAAACTGTACATTTCAATTTATTTATTTTATTCTTTCAGATCAAAGGGCCGATTAATCTACCTGCATAAAAATGTGACAAAATCAGAACTCTTTAGTGTATAGAGAGCTCTTAAATCCACACTAAGGATGCCTGCATATTGATATGACTTGAGAAGGTTTAAAAGATATTTCCTACGCACTTCTTTAAAACTTTTACCCTCTATCATAGTTCCAAGAGCCATTAATATAAACAAACTTGAATCTACCCCAAATAAAGCATCATTTGTTAAAGTTTTGTCTTTTCTGGTCCATTGGTCCTTTTTTAATGACAACACCAACAGCTAGTAGAACTCTGTCATGATAGTGAAAACAAATGGTCATCTTGTAGTCAGAGATAAACATAATATCAAGTTTGATTTCCATCAGACTTTAACATCATTAGGGGTAATACACCTCTTAGAGGGTACCAGTATACCAAAATTGATGCCTGTAAAGAAGATGGTTCTCAAGAAAATAAGCTGACAATATCTTCCTATCCTATGACTAGTGTCTATGTTGTTTGACCCTTAAACTTGTGACCTCAAATTAACTGGTCAATTTCTTCCAAGGGGAAGCCAGTGTATCAAAATTGATGTCTGTCAAGCAATTAGTTCTGAAGATATTGAGCGGTCAGTATCTTCCTATGTCCAGTTTGGCCCTTGTTCTTTGTGATCTCCAAATCAATAGAGGTCACCTACTCAGTAAGAGGAAGCAATGTACCAAGTTTGGTGTCTGTGAAGCAGTGTTCTCAGAATATTTAGCAGACAATAACTTTCTATATTTAGAGTATTTTGACTCTGACCTTTTGACCTAAAAATCTACAGTGGTCAACTACTCCTTGGAGAAAAAAAGGGATCAAATTTGATGTTTGTTCAGCAAAGGGTTCTTTATATATGGAGTGATCAGTATCTTCCTTTATCCAGTTTGACACTTGACCTTGTGAACTCATGTGCAATAGAGCTCATCAACTTCTTAATGAGAACCAGTGTACCAAGTTTGATGTTTGTCAAGCAAAGAATTTTCAAGATATTGATTATTCAGTACATTTGTATGTCCAGTTTGACCCTTGACCTTGTGACCCCAAGATCAAGTTTGCATTTCATTCTTAATGCTATTATGGCCTTTTTAGTCTTAAGGGGGACCAGATTACACTAGTTGGTTTATCTTAAGAATGCTTGTTTTTATAGTGAATAATTCATTACCCAGTGAAAATATTTCTCAGATACTGAGATAATCAATGTGTTGATGGAATAGGAATATCCTTCTCCCCATTTCCTTCTCCATGCCCTATTTTCTCCCTCTTCATCTTCTCCCCTCCCAATCCTTTGACCCTTACTCTCCTTTCTCTGTTATCTTTTACAAGGATGCATGATAGTGCTCAAACAACCTTATACTTTTGTTTGGTGCAGCAAGAGATGAAATTGGTTTGTAGCCATATACTTTTCTGACACAAAATAAGAAAATGGTTGCATGAATAGGAATAAAAACTTGGAGCCATGCATTACTAATCCAGTGTTCTAACCATGTACATGTAGTTATCCAATCCTATGTTCACAGTCCAAATAACCCAAACTACTACATTTCTCCCTCTTGAAATTGTCTTCATCCATGAAGACACACAACCAGATTATTTGGCCTCTGGCAGGACTTTGACCTGCAATTCTAGGGATGGTCAATGGCACCAATCATGTAATGAAAAGAACAAGAGATGTTTGTGAAACACTTATCCACCCCCTCCCCAATATTAATTGGAATTTTTCTAAGTTCAAGGGACATAACTCTGTCAAAAATTGCTTGATCGTACCCAAAACAGTAGTTGACCTAGATATTTTTATGATAAATCTGTATACCAAATTTCATTTCAGTATGTGTAAAATCTGCAAAGAAAATGAAGGGACACTGTTGGTGGACCGACAAACAGATCGACCGACAGATAGCAGCAAAGCAATATGCCCTCCCCTCTTTGAAGGGGGGGGATAAAAATTATGGCTAGAGCGTCAGTCGATTCAGGGGCTCCTGCATCCACTTCCCAAATTACTAAAATACAGACAAACCTCTTATCTTGAACTCGATGGGACTGAAAAACTTTGAGATATCCGAGGATTCGAGATATTGAGGGTAAAATACTTAAAGAAAAAGCAGTTGGGACTTCCAAATCACTTAGAAATATTCATGGTATTCGAGATATCAGTGTTCAAGATACCGAGGTTCAACTGTATATTGTAACAACATATTTCACCTTTTTGCAGAATACATACATAACATTTTTATGATATACAAGTTTTATTTGAAATAGCAAGATTCTTCAAAATTGTAGCTGCCACTCATTTTCGAACTAGTTCATCAAAATGAAACATGTTCACATGATTTGGTATTGTTCTGAGGAAAGATTTATTCAGAATGTGTATTATGTACTAGCTACCCTGCCAATGGATTTGCATGTATAGTTACATTTAGTAGATGTATTTCATTTAAAGGACGATAGTTTTTCTCATTTACTGGTTGTTTTTCTATTTCATCCAGAGTCTCAAAGCCATCGATCACTTTTCCGAAAATTGTATATTTCAAGTCCAAATGTGGCTGTTTGGCATATGTTATGAAAAACTGAGATCCGTTTGAATCAGGTCCATTATTTGCCATGGAAACCACGCCCCTGACGTTGTGTTTTAAGGTGTCCGAGAGTTCGTCCTCAAACTTCTCTCCCCATATGCTGTTACCACCTTTACCTGTACCAGTGGGATCACCTGTTTGAACCATAAACCCCTTGATGTTTCGGTGAAACAGACAACCATTGTAATAATCACTGGCACAAAGAGCGAGAAAATTTTCACAAGCTTTTGGGCATTGTTCACAAAACAACTCCAATTTAATGTCTCCATAATCAGTATGTAATGTAACTGCCATAGTATGATAGTAAACTACTGTAATGTGTACCATAAATGAGCGAATAACGTGGGCCCTACGTTTAGTTCTCCTATTTTACCCAACTCTTTTATTCGAAACTAACGGTACGTTATCTTTTTGTTAAAAGTTATTGAAATCTCGTAAATTAAAAATGAATAACAAAATAGAATTATAAAAAAAAGTTTAAACATATGGGCTTATCTAGATGTACCAAAAATAAACAATATTTCGTAAGTCGTATATTCTTAAATTCTAAAGTCTCTGGGATTTATGTAAAGCCCCGAAAAGTTGCGATTGTCCTTGAATGAAGTCGCCCTTTCTGAAGGCCGTTTAGGAAGCTGCATAGCAGACGGCATTTTTTCAATGCAATCGCATAATAGGTAGGTAACAAAGATAGCATATATCTGTTTAATACACCAAGTCGTTTTAGTCTACTATCTTCAGATATGCATTTTTTTGTTACAAAATCGTGGAAATAACGGGATTCATGATCATGATGCATGACCAAAGTGGTGGATCTAAAAGGTGTTTATACATTTTTTGCGTTATTTTCTTCTTAAAGAGCAATTACGCTTTTTTCCCCTATTTACGCTTTTTTACAGCCAATTAAAAAAAATTTTAAGGGGCATTAAACTTCAATCTGGGTTATTCAGCATACTTCAACTTGTTTGTCACAAAATTTAATGTGTATGTGAATGCCAGCCTTGACAATTAACTGATATTCTGTCATGTAAGCTACTTTTTAGGTCAAAGTCTTTTAAATTTAGAACATGCAGAGAAACAAAGGTAAAAAGTTCAAAATCAACTGTTGTCAGCAAAACTCTCTTTTCATTAGATTGTCATATAACATATAAAAATATTTTGGATTAATGTCAAAATTTAAAAGAAAAATTGAGGTAAATAATATGTTATTATGTGGCATAATAGCATGTGTAATGACTCAAAAGTCAGAACCTCTATTTTTCTGAACAAATAAGATTTTACAGTTTAATTTCCATAAAAAATATAATGTTATATGTAAACTGAAGGAAAAAAAAGAAAAGTTTTTGATATCATCGTGATGATAGTCTTTAGAGTGCTTGACATTCACACCCTGCAAAACCTGTTTTTAGCTCACCGGAGCTGAAAGCTCAAGTGAGCTTTTCTGATCACCCGTTGTCCGTCGTCCGTCCGTCTGTCCGTCCGTCCGTCTGTAAACTTTTCACATTTTCAAATTCTTCTCAAGAACCACTGGGCCAATTTTAACCAAACTTGGTACAAAGTATCCTTGGGGGAAGGGGAGTTTAAATTGTTAAAATAAAGGGCCAAGTCTCCTTACAAGGGGAGATAATCAAGAAAAGACAAAAATAGGGTGGGGTCATAAAAAAATCTTCTTCTCAAGAACCACTGGGCCAGAAAAGCTGAAACTTATATGGAAGCATCCTGGGATAGTGTAGATTCTAAATTGTTAAAATCATGACCCCCGGGGGTAGGGCGGGGCCACAATAGGGAATCCAAGTTTTACATTGAAATATATAGGAAAAATCTTGAAAAATCTTCTTCTCAAGAACCACTTAGCCAGAAAAGCTGAAACTTATGTGGAAGCATCCTGGGGTAGTGTAGATTCTAAATTGTTAAAATCATGACCCCCGGGGGTAGGGCGGGGCCACAATAGGGAATCCAAGTTTTACATTGAAATATATAGGAAAAATCTTGAAAAATCTTCTTCTCAAGAACCACTTAGCCAGAAAAGCTGAAACTTATGTGGAAGCATCCTGGGGTAGTGTAGATTCTAAATTGTTCAAATCATGACCCCCGGGGGTAGGGTGGGGCCACAATAGGAAATACAAGTTTTACATTGAAATACATAGGAAAAATCTTTAAAAATTTTCTTCTCAAGAACCACATAGCCAGAAAAGCTGAAACTTAAATGGAAGCATCCTGGGGTAATGAAGATTCTAAATTGTTCAAATCATGACCCCCGGGGGTAGGGCGGGGCCACAGTAGGGAATACAAGTTTTACATTGAAATATATAGGAAAAATCTTTAAAAATCTTCTTCTCAAGAACCACTGAGCCAGAAAAACTGAAACTTATGTGGAAGCATCCTGGGTAGTGTAGATTCTAAGTTGTTCAAATCATGACCCCCGGGGGTAGGGCGGGGCCACAGTAGGGAATACAAGTTTTACATTGAAATATATAGGAAAAATCTTTAAAAATCTTCTTCTCAAGAACCACTGGGCCAGAAAAGCTGAAACTTATGTGGAAGCATCCTGGGGTAATGTAGATTCTAAATTGTTCAAATCGTGACCCCCGGGGGTAGGGCGGGGCCACAGTAGGGAATACAAGTTTTACATTGAAATATATAGGAAAAATCTTTAAAAATCTTCTTCTCAAGAACCACTGGACCAGAAAAACTGAAACTTAGGTGGAAGCATCCTGGGGTAGTGTAGATTCTAAATTGTTAAAATCATGACCCCTGGGGGTAGGGCGAGGCCACAATAGGGAATCCAAGTTTTACATTGAAATATATAGGAGAAATCTTGAAAAATCTTCTTCTCAAGAACCACTTAGCCAGAAAAGCTGAAACTTATGTGGAAGCATCCTGGGGTAGTGTAGATTCTAAATTGTTAAAATCATGACCCCCGGGGGTAGGGCGGGGCCACAATAGGGAATCCAAGTTTTACATTGAAATATATAGGAAAAATCTTTAGAAATCTTCTTCTCAAGAACCACTGAGCCAGAAAAGCTGAAACTTATGTGGAAGCATCCTCAAGTAGTGTACACTCTAAATTGTTGAAATCATGACCCCAGGGAGGGGGGGGCACAATAGGGAATCCCAAGTTTTACATTGAAATATATAGGAAAAATCTTGAAAAATCTTCTTCTCAAGAACCACTGGACCAGAAAAGCTGAAACTTATGTGGAAGCATCCTGGGGTAGTGTAGATTCTAAATTGTTCAAATCATGGCCCCTGGGGATAGGGCGGGGCCACAATTGGTATTACAAGGGGGGAAGTCTGGTAATGAACAGCATGGCCAAAGTTACTCAGGTGAGCGATGTGGCCCATGGGCCTCTTGTTTAATATTCTCTTTGTCTCATGCAGTGCCAGGTGGGCATGTGACTTCTCAGTTTACATATCCTCCTGCAGCTTGAAAAGGTCCTGGGCATTAGACTCTCAGGTTATTCCAAGGACTGGCCTTGTCACATTCATGTGGTCCATATACTTGCAAAAAATGACAATGTCTTTTCCTTGGTAGAATGTACGTCTTTCATACCTTTCCAATATAACATGATATAAAGTCAGTAGAAAAAGGAAATCAAACATTACAGAGCTTTCCTCAGTGAACAATTACATAGATTTATATCAAATTATTTTGTACTGTAATAGTTTGGACCATTGATATATTGGCCTGGGCCAGTGGCTCTTTTCACAAAAAAATCTTATGACTAAGACCAAAATATAATTTTTGAATAACTCTGTTATTTACACTAATTTGAAAGTAGTATTAATGTTTTCCAAAAGAATTTAGAAGAATATATATATGCTAGGAATTTGAAACAGAATAATTAATTTTGAATGATTTTACAGTCAGCTAACATTTGGGTCATAGTCAAAGGTTTTTTTTATTGTAAAATGGAGACCTGAATAGCTCAGTGGTTAGAACACCTAATACAGGGGTCTCAAGTTCAATTTCTGACCAAAAAAAAACACATTGTTTCAAAAGTTAATAAGATGTATTGTGTGAAAACTTTGAAAGTATTGCAGCACTTACTATATATGTACACATGTAGCAATACCACCACCACCAGTTTCTAATAGATTCCTGTCAATGTGCATGTTTGTATATAGTCGAATGGTAAACAATTGCATTATCTTTTTGCCACTTTCTCACTGTCAGAAAGTGAACTGGACAAAAATTTATACTGGTATTTTGATTTGATTGTTAAAATTAAGTGATAAAAACCAGAGACTTATATTGATTAAAGAGAATATTTACCATAAAAAGCATTCATGTATAGTTTGATATTTTCTTCCATCTTAGAGTGAAGAGGAAATTATGCTTACCAAGCAGATCAGAGTTTTGACCCTGAATGGAGGAGAAAACAGGGAGACAACTCTGTATAGATTACAGAAAGGTGAGAAAAATTTGGAAGTCAAATCAATTCAATAAATTTGTTATTTGGTAAAATTTCAATCTGATTAAAAGCAGATCCTTTGATCCGCTCTGACACATAGATCGCTACACAAGGCTTGTGAAGCAATATATGTGAGTGGATCAAAGGATCTGATTTTAGTCAGATTGGTAAAATTTCATTGATGATCATTTTCTGAAATAATACAAATGGCTGAAATGGAAGAGTTTATTTTCACATGAAGCTGTAAAAAATAAAAGACACTTTTTTGAAGGTATGATGATATATCAAAGTAAATAGTGATCAGCCCAACTTCGATTTTTGTGTGTGTGTATATATTTTTTTTTTATATGGTTGTGTGTGTTTTTTTTTTTTGGGTTGAGGTGGGATTGGGTTATTTTATGTCCTGTTTCTTTACATTTGTTTTAGGGTAGGTCAGAAAATTGGGGAAAAAAGCTATAAATTAGACCCATTAGTGGGAGACTTATATAATGTCTTGAAAAAATATTACTAGATATCATTGATATCAAAATATATTAGATAATAATGAATATTTGTCTTGAATTCCTGCTAGGATGGATATTAAGATTTAACCTTGGACCTTCACTGTTTGTCAGTCCTGTAAGATTATTTTGCAATCACCCGACAAAGAAGAGTGAACCATTTGACCGAATCAACTACACAGAGCTGAAGTGGATTAGCCCCAGTGGTTCTAAGATTGACAGACATGATGTTTACGCAGAAGTTCACATCAACACTGCAGGGTCCTTCAACTATTACTTTACAGCAGATAAAAGGTACAGTGCCTCTTATTATACTGTGAATCAATTTTTATTAGCATAAATATGCGAGACTGTCTTCCCGTTAAAATCTTATTCTTGGGTATATTGATATTATAAAGGATTATATGCAGCA